CTTAGTAGGCTTTACCTTTACCTAAAGGAAACAGGAGTCCACTGGCCAGGTTAACCCTTTCACTCTCATGACTGATCAAGACAGAATTTCTCCTTACCATATCAATACAATATCAAGCAGACAAGTGATGAGAATAAAGGAAATACAAATTAGAGTATTTCTATTTGGCTCCAAAGCAAATTCTCCAAACAAAGATCAAATGAACTGTAAGGCAGAGGGTTAGGAGAATAACTAATGAGATCTTTGTAGTGCAAGGGTTGACTCAACAGAATAACATCTGATTTAGAAGTAAGCATTTAGCAGGTGCATCCTCTGAGGAGACAACAAATAATATGTTTATCTCAAATGCCAACCAGAGAATAGCGGGTCCTTTTTTACGTGGCAAGCTGTAGTTCTTTTGTTATCATAGAGGTATTTGACCACAACAATACCAAAGGTTTGAAGGGAAGGGCTCTTGATTGCATTGCTTACATCTTAAATTGGTCTATTGAAAAACCGTTATGATAATTGAATTCTGACCTTTTGAAAACTGGACACCTTCCAAAAGGCTTTACCTCCAATTAATCAAAAAAGCCTTAGCATTTTAAATTAAGGGAGAGGAATAGCCAAAAATTAATCATAGGTGGAAGATGGATGTTTTTCTTCAAAAAGCATCATGAAATTGATCAAGCCACGATGATGTGCCGAGCAAATGGTTGCACTCATAAAATACAAACCACACTTACAAATGAAGTAATACACTGTTCCTTTCTTGAAAACTCGAGAAGGGTCTGCATTAAAAGGCTGAAACACGAGTGTTTCAAACTGTATTTGACGTGGATTATCACACTGAAGGAAGATCTTGTTTTTGGTTATGCTGCTATTCACATTGCAAGTCTCGTAGCTTTTAAGATCTACTCGCCAAAAGTTCTCATAGATGAGACCATTATCAGTGTCCTGTCTCTCTTCTAGAGACACTGCCACATGCGGGCAGAGGATGTTTAGTTTTGATCCTGGGAGGACATTTAAGCGATAGTTTCCTCCTTTGAATCTGAAAAATAAAAAATAAAAATCATTAAGATGTATATAACTGGCAAGAACTGTCATATTAATACTTGAACAGTTTCATGGCTGTAGTAAGTGGTCTGAGTGAGTAACAGCTGATGCCTGACAACTGTTTAAGGTCTTCACCATATTCAGCCCATTCTTGTAGAGCTGCAAACATTCGCCATGGCTTAATTAGGCAATCACTGCTGTCCTGCTTCACTTTTTTCATTCAGTTTCAAACTGTCTTACTCGGGAAGGTTTTTGGCCCTAGCTAGCTTCTTTTTTTAAGTGCAAAGTTGTTGTGCTACCATCCTTTATCAGCTACAGCAGTTAAACCTATCACACATCCTCTGTCAGCATTAAAAATATGAAGAAAACACAGTGGGTGCGAGGAAGAAGTAACCTGCCCATATGAAAAGCTCTGACAATTCCCCATCTTTTTTCACTGATTGAAGGAACATAAATGAAAATGATCATACATGATGCCTTCTTGTGTGGCAGTCAGACTCCTTCAAGTTTTATCTTCTGATTACTTACTATTTTTGAGGACAACATTTTTAAAGGAAGCATTAACTCATACTAAGATCACAGAGGGAGAGAACTCTCATTCCAATCAGGAACAGATTAAGCTGGAGTGGCCTTGTTCAGCAAAATTGCCTAATAAGGGAGCTGTCAAAGAAATCCCCTATGGAGAGCTGAGAAGATTGGACCAAAGTCTATCATCCTTCCCTGGGATTCAAAGCCACTGTGATGGACATCATAAAGCTTATAGGGCCCTGGAAAGAGCCAGTAGGCATGACAAAGGCCTAAATCAGAGGATGTTTTTTAAAATTGACAATGACAGACAAAATAAAACCTCAGAGAAAAGAGGAAAGTGTTTCAAGAAGAGTGGGGAAAGAAGCAAACTGAGTCTAGAATATTTATTGTGTATATTTTGACTTGTCTTGAAAAACTTCTTCAATTTCAATTAGTTGGCTAACATCACACTACAAGGAACCAAACTTGCAAGTTGTTCATGATGTCTTCATGATCATGCAGAATATTGTAATGCCCATCCACAAAAAAAGACAAACAATTAGGTACAATTTCTCAACTTACTAGTCTGAATCCACTCAGTGCAAGTACATACATGTATGTGTTTCTTTAGAAGTATACAACATGAATATACCACTTCAATGTACAGTTAAAATAATTACTCCTTAGTTTGCAAAAAATATAAAGCCATACTTAAAAATAAATGTGTTTTCAATGCACGACGGACTTCCACATTCACATTATGCTACCTCATAAAAAGGGAAAGAATTATGATAAAAATCAACATAGCAGTTTTTTAACATGCATGATGAACAGATTTCTCCGATGAAACTTTTAGGTTCATATACTCCACATGCAACACATTTGATTACAAAAGCACCCTTGTATTAGCAAACATTTAACACCATTTCAATATAATTAAGTTCCTTGTAAGAGGTAATTTTTGTCAACTTAATTCCTGACAACATCAACCACCAAAATAACCTGATTTTAGGCAGCAATAAAAAATATGCATGTGACTTAATCATTTTAAAACCTGCATGGCAATTTTAATCTATGCTCTCACTTTTGTTAAGTACAGAGCATATTCATTTAATTATAGCTGGATCTTGCTGAAAGATAAGAATTAAATGTTCTGCCATCAAAGTAATACACAATAAAGATGTCATGACTCTGTGAATTTATTATCTTGATCAAAGCGCCAGCTGCTAGACTAGTTAATGACTGACTTCACCTCACATAATATGACTAAGAAGCTTTTTTATCCACAGCAGCTTTATTGATTCAACCACACAGGAATAGTTTAGGCACTGCTTCCAGAGATAAAAACCTTATCAAATTCTTATATCCAGAGGCCATTTCCTGTTTTGCTTTCCACTTATCAGTAGTCACATAGCACAGAGTATATTAACTCTAGCTTATCTTAAATATTATTATGCAATGCTTCTGTCAATCTGTTGTTCAACTTGTAAAAAACTGTTGGTTAATTACACCTGGAATGGTGTGGGGGTGAATACATGTAACTGAATGATTATTAGAGTATGTTGTTTACAAGTAACTTGGCTATAACTCAGAGAGCATCAAAAGTCATTGAGTTTTCATGCCTTTCTACACTAATTGTATTTTGGATCTTAAGTTCTAGAAATTGGATCTGGTCCAGTGATGACATTGTCTACTTGTTTATGTTGTTGTTCAATCTGCCTTCTTCATCTCAAATTGTCAAATCATTACCAATTTCAGTTTCTTTTGCTTCAAATTGATTGTTCCAGTGAAAAGAAGGCAAAGTTTGAAAAACAATAAACAGCTACAACATAAATCAAACATAGTTCATTATCATTTTAGAAAAATGAGATAAGCCTGATGATAACATTCCAAGACAGAATACTTTGCACTACTCTGAAGATAGCTTTGTCAACTTACCAGACAAAAATTAACAATAGTATTGTTCTGCTCACACATTAGAATATTTCATTTAGTTTCACTTATTTAAAACCATTCTTAATTTAACACTGTTCATGTTTTCAACCTCCACAAACTCAAATATAGAAAGTTCTACAACATCACACATTAGTATTAACAGAACTCCAATAAAGGTGCCTCCATCAAGAGTGATATATCACTGCTGTGAATACTTCAATAGCAACAGCTTTACAGATGCCGCTACTGTTTGAAATCTGCATTCATCATCATCAAGATTAAATAGAAAGGACACAAAGATCTTTTGTAGTTATAATGGAGTTTTAATTGTCTCTAAAATATCTGCATGGAATTTTACGGGGGGAGACAGTTGTCTGTGACAAATATCTCTACTTTCCACCACCGTTAAGAAACAAAAGAAAAACAATTTTGAGAATATGTATAACTACATGGAATTAGTTAACAAAGGCACTCCAGTTGTAACTGTTAAGCTTTAAAAATTAAATGATATTTCTTTTATAATATTTGCATTGTTTCTAGTTTAATTCAGTCAGCAATTAAGAATCCCTAAATAATACTCCACGCAGCCTTTAAGTTACAAGTTGAATTACTCCAAATATTGTAAGATGCTATGAAAGAAAGAGTAAAGAATTTTGGATTACAAATCTCTCAACATTCCCTTTCAGTGTAACAGTTAGGCAAGCATTTCTAACCAGAAATGCCTAATAAAGCATTGCTTTTGTAGATACAGATTTGTAAGTATAAGCGAAGTGAAGATTCTTGCATAATTATCCAAAAATGTTCCTGATGCTCTGCTTCTGTGAAGATTTTAAGGTCTCCATCATGCAAATAGTTAGTGCTGCTTTATGTTCTCTTCAGAGTGCACTGTGATTGATGAGAAATAAAAACTACAAAAATTGCAATTAGCTCCTGTATCCGTCACAAGCATTTCACAAGCATGTCTTAGAGGGCATTTAGGAACAAGGAACATATAATGATCGTTGAGGGTTGTACCGCGGAAACAAAAAAACACATGTCAGTCTGACAAACATGCCTGCATGTGACCATCGCACTTCTAAATACACACTTGCATTCAAGACCAGAGGTATTGAAAGAGCCAGCTTTTTTTTTTTATCAAATAACATAGCTATTTGTAGATTCATGACACACAAGCAGTTTTAGTTTTGAAGAGCTACAACGCAACATTTAACTATCTTTCCTCTACCTTTTTTGAACTGGACCGAGAGCTTGGAAAAACCTTTCTTTTAGGTTAATTGGATGTAAGTGATAGATATCTAAACTCAATTGATTCAAACACTGTCTAAAATAAAGCTTACCCAGACGTAAACATAAAAAATAATAGAAAATAACAAATTTCTACCACACGATATATTGCGAGTTCAGTCTTATCGCCTTAATGAAAGTAATTATTGAAATTTTAAATTCCCTTGCGCAATGTAGGCAAGTGTCAGAAGCTAGGGTGGAAGGAAATTCTGAAAATAGTCATAATGTTGTCAAAGGTCTTTACCCTGTCTAGTTTTAACTGTAAGCTGTCATTTATGTTTGTACGGTAAAATGACACGACTAGCTTTTAGCTTAAGCAAATACACTTTTTCCCTTGAAGATGAACCTTGATTAGGGTGTTAGCTTTCATTCCAAATGCATCTCAAAGAGCCTTTCCATAAAATAGAACCTCACTCATTTACTCTGAGGACATGAAAGTGGAGGAATAAGCGAGACGGTTGACCATACATTGTCTGCTTGAATAAATTTTCTTCAGCGGACGCTCCACTTTCTGGGTTATTCGATAAAAATCCCTTAGAGTCTCATACAAAATACTATTTAAAACACAGGGAATTCGGCAGTTACTATAAACGGGGGAACCCTCAAAGGCTGCTTATTTTCTCACATGCGATTCAAACCTTTACACACTCAATTTGCATACACGCGTTATAGAGCTTTGAGGTTTATTGGTTTCCTTCATTTTCTACTGCGTCAAACTTAAGTCGTTAAGATCTCTTATTTGAAACAAAATTATTTCGCCGTTGCTTTCCCATGGTCTTTCTCTATAATCCTAAGAAATATAAAGAAGGTGAATATTCCACTTGAAGTGATGAAATGGTCCGGTTTTACTACAAGTAGATAAAAGTACTTCAATTATTAGTAGTACTTACAGAGGGTTTTGAAAAGTCCAGTGCAACGATGGGTACACAATTGCTCCACTCACAAGAACAGCCAGTTCCATACAAACGTAAAAGAACACCAGAACAAGACGATTTTCACGTCTCATGTTGTTTCGTGCCAAAACTTCCGTAATCAATGCAAGCAATGATTGCAACGGAATTATCGATATGTACAAACTAACATTTCAAACACAAAGAGGTTTTTAACCATAAATGATCCAAGGAAAAAGGAAATTGTGTGCCTCTTTCGTCTCAAAGGTCACTGAATAATCGGGTGATGGTATGACAACATTCAAACGTAAATCTACTCGTGCATAATCCGTATTTAGTCGGATTCGTAGGAGTAGAAATACGTACGAGCTGAGCTGTCTTCCCACAGGGTTACCAGACAAGCGACCAGTCTGGTTGTTTATTCGAAGGAGTCACCTTCTTATAACGTACAGTAACAGTCGACCCAAAACCCACCAAATCGCTCAAATTTGCCATTTAGAGCCACAGAAACGACAATACACAGCAAGTGAGGTAGGTTTACATTTATTTTGAGCTTTAACTCAGACATTTCATGATATAAGTTTACGATAATAAGACTCTTAAACATTCTCCCATACATTCCTTTATATTTCGAATCAACAACCAGACTCGTCGCTTGTCTGGGTGTTCTGTGGTCTTCCTAAACTAAATTTGATTGGTCACATTTCATTTGATGTCACACATTGGTGCCAAAACGATTCATCACATCCACTTCCGTTTGAAATGCAAAGAAGTCTGAAGCTTCCCCATAAAATGCGGTAAGTCTACATAAATAATTGTTTTGATCGCGGTCTCTCATATGAACTCTCAATTTCATTCAAGGCCAAGAGTTTCACAAAACAGCTGCTTCTTTAGTCTTCCCCCCTATGAACGTTAAGTCATCAAACTTCCTCGGTACATAAATTTTGAACGTGTCAAACTATTTTGTGAACTTTCGCATCCCTTGAGCAGATTGCTATTTCTCTCCTTACCTAACCCTAGCCCTAAGCATGGTTCTTCTCATTTTATTCACAAGCCTGAGGAAATTTCGCCAAGAGAGTATCACAGCGTTGAAGATGTAACTTTAAAAACAGCTGGCAAAATAGAAACAATAAATTATTAATGACAGAACGGTCCAAGATAACAAGAATTCTTCCTTAAGAATGCCAGTAGAAATTTATCGATGTAGTGCCGGAAACTGGACACAAAAATGCGACATCTGGTATAAAACAGAACAGTGATAGAAAGTAGGCGAGTTCGATTTTTCACACGAAGGCCTTTCACTTTAATTTAATTTAATTTAACATAATTTATATAGCGCTAACTCCACAAATTGACCAAAGCGCTTCAAACACTTCTGTGTTTGAAGCTTTTCTCGGATACACGATCGTTTTATTCTTTCTTAGAATTGCACTCTAAGACGGAGGACCCTAAAATTTCAATCGACACGAAACAAAGGAATAATTTACTCAACATTCGTAGGAAACCACAAATAAATCTAAGAAAAGACTAAACGACGAACAAAGGATTGTGATCGAGTCTCTGTAGCTATTAAATGGCTGCCCACATTTAACGGCGTTTGGCCAATATTCATCTTTCCTATCCTTGGCTTTCGATCGATGATTGTGTTCCGGGAAAGTAGCTACATATGGTTAATACCGGAATTCCCAGTGTGGGGCGGGGGGAGGGGGAGTCATCAATGTTACACAAAACCCTTTGATGGCAAAATGACGGGAGCCTAGGGAAGATCCTTAATGAGTTTGTGGGAAACCACAGAAGTAATCACAACCTGCACCCAGTCATTAAGGATGCGAAAAATCATTTATAATATTGGTAAATTTTTCCCAGACGCCTTCACTGACTCGTCAAACAAACACCATTAGAGTTGTGTGATGACCTCATATTTTAATTGCGAATCCTACCACAATAGACAACCATACACGCATACAATTCATTTTGACACAAACACCTAGCTTTTCAGACATTTAGATGGTAAGATCTGTTCAATATAATACATCGCCAGTCCCATCCCCGTTGCTAAGCTCTGTCTAGACGGAATTAGTTTACACTGGTTTATGGGTTGAAAGGATAATGTTGTAGTGAATTATCTGTAGCTTGCACTTCTATAAAGAAAGCAGACATGATTTAGATCATTGCAGAAGTTTACTTCTTGCCAAGTTTGTTTTTTTTTCTTTATCAATTAAGGCTGGTTTAAACATGCATCAGACAAAAACTAAAGTTTTCAAATGCCGTGAGAGACTAAATCCTTGTAAGTCTTCTGTTATTGGGGCCTCTCCACTTCGTCCCCGAGAAAATTAAGTCCATTAAAAGAAAACTTTCTTCGACTCACTCTTAGGCTATGATCAGATAGCGATGTCCGATGCACAATCCACGAATAGGCGTAGTTCATCAAAAGGCAGATTCCGACGCAAAACGGAATCGGTACCTCTTTTCAAATTCTTGTCATGAACTACTATCTACGTGTTAACAACTGAAAAGGGTTGATTCTGCTGTTAAAACAACTGGAAACGGTTAAATCAAGTAAAATATGGAGCTATAAAACAGCATGTGCGTGCACGAGACTAAAAATATGAAGATCTTTGCATGCTTGTTCATCCCTCTATCGATAGCTCTTGCAGTTAATTGTCTTATCTGGCCTTTTTATCTGTTCTAAACAGGCACCGTTAGACAAGAACGTTCCCCTTTACTTGTAAACTATTACGTGCGTATACGATAGCACAAGGGATGAGGGGGACTGTTTTTTCAGTCAACACCACTTTAAACTAAAATTGCTAACTGACCCTAACAACCCATATGTTACAACAATACTACTCCTTGTGGCTGCGTTCCCACATTTCTCGTCAGACGTAATGGGCGACGGAAATGTCACACCCAAGGTGTCGTTCATCCCAGACAAAACAGAACTGATTTCTAGCATTGTGTTGTCACTCATGCAAGCACAAAAAGGCGTCTCACAATCTCTTCCTCGCTCACTTTTGAGATTTCACAACAAAACAGCCATACCGCGTCATTTCTAAAAAACGAAACGCCTTCAAACGAGACTGAGAGTTATAATCGTGGGAGCTTGACTGTGACAGTATTTATGCATCGGGGATTCTACCATAGCATCAGGTGGGGAAGGGGGAGCGCTTTGCCACGTAAGAATGACTTATGCCACAATGACCTCGGGGGGGGCCTTCCATGCGCCAATAAAAATAGAAGCTGATAATGCTTAAAAGACTATGATGGGTAAAACGGCTTTAATCCGCGATTACATCATAAAGAGACAACCCGCAGTTGAAATACATCGTGCACAGTTTGATTCAATTCATTATGTCTAAGAGAAGGACTTCTCCTTGTAAAAGGAATCACACGAAGAAGAGTTACACGAACCGCGACTCTTGGAGATATTGCGCCATTCAAAAAGAGTGACTCCACACTGTTCCCTTTCTGCTCCTTCCCGTGATCGCAAATTTTTTAAATGAAATTTATGCGGGTCATGTGACACTTGAGCGTGGAATATCTTTTAAATGAAAGCCCCTAATGCGCGTACTTTGCACGCCTGTTTCAAATCTGGAATTGTTTCCTATAACTTATCTAAACTGGTGTCACTGAATAGTCAAATACAAGGCCTCGATTCTGCGTGATCCAACGGAGAGTTTCAGGCATCCTTCAACATTGATGGCTGCGAAATGGATCATCCAATTCCAAGAGTAATTTGCTTTTCGAAGAACCCAGGGCAAAATGGTCCTCTTTTTTTAACATTGGTCAGCGGTCCAGTGCTTAGCTTATGCTGCCTGCAGAGGTTGAAGATCTTTCCTTAGGAAAAAGAAAAGTCTTACATCATACATATCAACTCGTGGATCTTGCGCAACTTATTCTCACGAGACTCATTTGCAATCGAAAGATTTGGTAGTGCACCCGTCTCAAGTTAATGGTTTACTTGGTAAGAACAACGACAAAAATGTGAGTCCTCAGCAATACTCAAAACTCACCCTTCTGCTCACCTGTCAGATGCAGTAACACTGAGAGAGTAAGAAATATCCAGATTACTGAGGGGCTTCTAATGATTGAACTAGCAGTAAAATCTGAAATCAATGAGTTTTGACATGCAATGATGACATTTATTGACCCGTTATATCCCCTACCAGTAAATATACTGCTACTGTCTACTTACTCAGTTAACAAATCTACAAATTTCAAGGAAATGAAACCGGGCTCTTGGAAACTTTCCAACTTACCGAAATCTAAGTTTCAATTTATGATTATCTACTAACTTGCGAATCGCAGTGTTGAAAACTTCTCATCTCGCAACACAAACAATTTTTCGATAAAAACTAAGAGAGATAACGGATAATATTTGAGTTATCATGTAATGGAGTAATAAATTGTTATTAATGTAAAAGTTATGCTTCTACCTTTGTTTGTATGCGATCAAGATGTTGAAAACTCCTCATTTCCGAACATCGAGTGTCACTTCATCTAACCCTAACTTTAACCACTTGTTTAGTTTCAATATGGCTTGATTTAATGCAATTCAATAGAACTCTACACGAATAACCTTTATAGAATTTGTTGTATGCTGTAGTGGGAAACTTCTCATTTCACAACACCAGCATTCACCGCTTTGTCAGTGGCATTCCACCTTTCGATTCGATTCGAAAAGGCGATAACTCAATCTAAATCATCTTACATCTATGAAATCTAAAAAAGCTTTTAAAAAAAGTTGTTGAAAACATCTCATCCCACAAAAACGACATACTACCTCAGTTCACATTTTAAGTCCCCTTTAGTAAATAAAGAGGTTTTTCAACGATTAGCTATATTTCGAAATCCCTCCTACAAAGGCTCTCATTGATTTCGCTAAAACATCTGTGCTGACTCTTATAATCTAGGCTAAACAAAATTTGTATTCCTATATCATTCTGTTGTTGAAAACTTCTAGTTTCCGAACATCAGCCGTAAACCACTACCATTTATAACCTAGTTATAACTTAATGTTTCCCCATGATGCTGAAAAACTTCTCATTTACGAACATGAGGCGAAGAACAAAATCTGTTCTAACTTGAGGTTTAAACTCCTGCTTAATTTGATTAGGGCAGGATTAAGTTTTCATAGATCGCCTATAACATGATGTTTAGAAAGTTGTCTGTTAATCTTCAAATATTTCTTCTGCTTAGAATTAGCAGTAACATTGACTGCTCTTGTAAAAATAATAATGATAGCAACAAAAACGTCTCTCTTTTTCAGACGTCTTAGCTTAAAATTTTGACGTCATAAAATAAGCTTTATAGTTCTCTATTGTTAGAAACATCTTGTTTCGCAGCAAAAGCTTTGACTACCAAAGCACCTTCAGTTCCACATGTAGAAGTTCGTAA